AAAATGCTAATCTAAACATAAAAATATCTAAACAGACTTAATGTACTATGGAGCAGCTTTTTATCAGCTTGGGTCCTGATTCATTAACATTTGCTTGCCGAGGTGAGGGCCATTATTGTTATGGGATTCCTCGGCATGGCCATATGGATATGTTGGCTGTGTTGGATGGATCAGCATGGGAGCAGCAACAAAGCCATCTGGGTGGTGCTTGCCGTTCGGCTCGAAATAGCTTTTAAAGTGCAGGCATGGGGAGGCCCCCACATTTCCAGGCAGAATCTGGTGCCTTGTGTGACTGAAAGGCCGAGGAATTCACTTGCTCTGGTCTGGAAGTACCCAGCTCTCCACCCTCTCATCACCTCTTCTTTTTCTACCCCTCACACCTCCCTTAATTTTTTCTCTCTCTCTCTCTCTCTCACACACACACACACACACACACACACACCCTCTCTTTCTTTTGGGTTGAAACTAGCAATGTGTTTCTGATGATGCAGTGGCCTTGGCACACATGAATCTTGGTTAGCTAGCAGGCATTCAGGACCATGGACAGCTCACTGGCTAGCTAGCAGTCAGTCAGGACCATGGACAGCTCACTGGTTAGCTAGCAGGTATTCAGGACCATAGACAGCTCACTCTGGGCCATGATTCAGAGTGAAGCAAGGAGGGAACCTTGGAACATTTAACCTTAGTTTGGGGCCAACCAAGGGCCAAACTGGACTTTACTAGGCTTGGCAGCCAGATCTGTTTAAAAAAACCAAATGGAAATACCAGGCACTGGTTTTCACCAGGAAATGAGAACACAGGAAAAAGCTGTGATCCTGAAAAATAGTGCACCTCTCCCCACCCCCCAGGGCAGTTACCTCTTAAAAAGAAAATACTTCCCTCTGATATCAATGGGAGTCTTCCACCCCCACCCCCCGCATGCACCCGCTAATTGTTGGGGAGGGGTGATTTTTGCCAGGATCACAACCAGAAAAATGAGTGTTAAAGTACCTCTCCCCATGTGCTCCCCAATGAAAATGAGGGTGGGGATGTCTGGTATTTCATTTTTTGAAAACTATAGGTGTGGTTGTTAGTTAATTAAAGCAGGCATAGGCAAACTCTGGCCCTCCAGATGTTTGGGACTACAATTCCCATCATCCCTTACCACTGGTCCTGTTAGCTAGGGATGATGGGAATTGTAGTCCCAAACATCTGGAGGGCCGGAGTTTGCCTATGCCTGAATTAAAGTAACACCTGGTTGCCCTGGGAGGTTAGGTAATCCCCGAGGGAGGTGAGTTCCCCCAGTTTTGTTTTGTCTTCTAGTGTCCACAGCATGGTTAGCAGTCATGTAGCCAGCAGAGGCCCACAGGGTCTCTATGCCCCCTTCCTGCTCCACTCCCCAGCCCAGGCTCCTGTCTCAACCCTGTGCAGCGGAAACACACCATTTCATGGTATTTGTCAGCATGCCGAAAACTGCCCTGAGGTCCTGCATTTATGTTTGCAGACTTTGTAAAAATATTATTTCCCATTGCTACTTGGTTTATATAATGTCAATATGTTCAGATCTACTCTTTGGAATTACATTTTATACACAATGCTGCTCCCTTTATGCCCTGGAGAATGTGTGTTGTCGAAGTTAGGTTTTTTTAAAAGGGAGTGAGAAAAGGAAAAGCCAGCCCCTTTTCAAGGGGAAATTCACAGGAGACTTGGGCTTCTGGCAACCACGTGGTGTGTTGTTGTTTTTTATTGTGGTCTGGAGTGAAATGTGCCACTGATCCTTAATTGAAATTCACCTTTTTTTATAATCCAGAAGCCTCTTCCCTCCACTTCTTTTTATGGCTGTGATTTGAAATCCATTGTTGAGGATGATTATCTTCAAAGATTAATTCTCCTTGGGGAGGTTGCTGAGTTGCTGGTGTAATTGGAAAGACTGAGAGATTTAAAAAAAAAAAAATTTGGAGGGGAGGGGTGGGGGAAGGAAAGGAAATACACCTGTTTGCATCTCCCATCCCCATCATTGGCACTACTGTGCAATCCTAAGAACCGTCCTCCTGGACAAACTAGTGGCTTGATTATGTAATGATGCAAACACAACCATTCTATTGAGGTCCATAGTCTGGTCAAAATGGCCCCAACTGCTGTTCTTAATCCCAGTGTCTCACAGAAGCAGCTCTGAAAATAAGTCCCTCCAAAAGGATCAGCTCTGCTGGTTTTTGCCCTTGCTTGTGGCTTTCCCAGAGACCTGGTTGACTACTATGAAAAGCAGGGTGCTGCTGGTCTAGATATATCCATCTAATCCAGCTGGAATCTTCCTACACTCTTACAATATATTAGCTGCATAATCCCTGGCCTACAACAGAAGGATCCACCTGGAAGTTCCAGATGTTCACCCCAGTATTTTTGGACATTTGCAGGGCTGTGCAAAAACCTTGGTAACATTCTTCTCAGTGGATGTCAGCTGCCCTGCCACCTAAAGCTTTCCTCCTCCCCCACCCCCAAAACCACTTGTGCAAGACTTATAGTCCTCCCTGGCTTTGGCTACAAAATCATTCCAGATGATGACACTCTCCAAGGGCAACATCATCACCAGCCTGTCATTTCCCATATGGTGAGCAAGATCACTGCAGTTTCTTAGGGAAGAACCTCCTGGACTGACTCTATCCATGTTGGCTATTGGCTCCTCCTAGGCAGGGAGGAGCATAATGGGGTGTATAAGACGTCTACTGAGCACTAGTTAGAGTGTCTGGTCTTGGCCTTTAGTTCTGATGCTGGGCCAGAATTTCCAGTCCTGCCTCCTGGTTCGCTCTGTGATCCAGACTGCTCTTTGGTCTGGATTTCCTGTGCCCAGTCCCAACAAACTCCTCATGAGAGGTTCAATCTTATATATAGTGTTGTAGATTGCCTTGATATTTTATGTGATGCTGGTGGTCAATACTGTGTGTGTGTGTGTGTGTGTGTGTGTGTAAGTAAGTAAGTAATCAATAGAATAGTAGATCACAGTCTCTTGGGAGTTGGACGTCCAACCTTGTTTCAGTTTGTCATAGTCTGTTATTCAGGGGCAGAGGTGATTCTGGCTCCAAATGCTTGACTCTTGGCTCTCTCCAGATTGCTGCCCGCTGCCCAACACTGATACAGCCAATAGCTGCAATAGCCAAAATTGATCCTCCATGTTCAGAGGCACCTGACCATGAACACTGAGTGAAGGGGAAGCTCTCAACATGCCCTGCTTGTGAGCTTCCAAGAGGCATCTAGTTGACCACTCTGGTAAACAAGACAGTGGACCAGATGAAACTAGATCCTTAAGTTCTGGTGTTTTAAGCATATGAGTGTCTATTTACAATTGCAGTCTGATGTGTGTTCTCTCCAAAAGTGAAGATGCTATGCTCTTTGGCTGCCAGGGCTGGTGGACTCCAAATGACCTACCTTGCATGTTGTGTATATAAGCTATCCATTCTGAAAATGTGTACCACCAGAAATAAATAAAAGACTCAACTGAACATGTGCCCACCCACAAAGGAGGCCACCTGGCCGGCTCTAATCCTGCCTCCATCTGTGCATCATGTGTGCTTGGATCAGCAAGAGACTCCTGACATTGAATCAGGACTTCTTGCGAGAATGCTGGTCATGACTCATTGCTCTGGGTTGCCTCCTCCCAGTCTGGAGATGTGCCCTGGTCAGTGAATCATGCAGAAACACAGATGGGCACTCCTTTGTGGACACTGATTTCTTGCTCTTTCACCCTTGCTAGAAATTGGGGGTGGAGGGGAGCTTTCAGGTCCAGGAGCAAAGCACTGCTTGCAGTTTGCTTCGTAATAAAAAATTATGCTTCAGCTATCATAAGTTTAGTAAATACTGCTCTGTAATCCCTTTTAAAAGCCGTTTATACAAGTTGCAAACATGACATCCCATGGCAAGCAGTCCTGGGGGGTGGCGTTGTCCATTTTTTGTGAATAAAAGGCTTCCTTTCTGTTTTCCGGAAGCAGATCTTTGCCAGTTTCCACACCACAAAAGCCTTTCTAGGATTAAACATTCTGATGGATACATGAAGCCCACCCAGTTGAGAGCTCTAGGAAGTTTTAGGATGAGAGTCAACTACAGGATGCAAGAGGAGCAGCATTTAGGACCCATGAGGGTGGGCCTGTCTCTGATACAGCCCCCATTTCCTGATACCCAAAACTTCCCTTAGTTTTCTCCTTTCCCTTTGGTTATTGCCATTGTGTCCTTCCTGATGCCAGCTGCTCCGAGACTCTTGCTAAACTCTCAAAATTCCCCACCTTGTGAAGCACAAAATTAAAACTATGGTTCAATTATGGAAGGGGATCATTAGCTGGGAAGCAGGGCAATCCTTAATCAACTGCCCCAACTTAGGTAAATAGCAGAGTTGTGCAATTAATTGGACTGTGCCTTTGCCGGCAACTGACTGGAGGGGAAGGTACTCCGGAATTTAAGGAACAAATTGTGTCGCACAATCCGGTTAAGAATCCCAAATCCCACCATCTTATGTTTTGACATGTCTATTATTTATATGCAAATGCAGTCTTTTCGGCAGAATTTCCTTGGAGATAAACTTTATTAAGGAAGTTAAAGGCAGAGGACACAATATGTTAATGGGAGATAATCAACATGTGGCTTGTGACTTTGGGAACAGGCTTGCAAGGAAAAGGGCAGATTAGCTGCTTCTGTTCACGTTTCCTCCCCTGCGGAGGCAGCTGGGTCTACAGCATCATAGAGGGAGGGGGCTCTTGGCAGTCCTCCTTGCATTTCTAGTAGGCACCCTCCTGCGCTAGTGATGAGGACAAAAACAAACCCAACAGAAGCAGCCAAAACTCACTGAAGTCAAGTTCTCCATTGCTGGTGCTACCCAGTGTGTGCCCTCAATCAGCACAGTGTTGTTCAGATGGGCTTAAGCGAAAAACAAAACAAGAACAAACAAACCAGTCTTTGCCCCAACCTCTTGCCATGTAAATTTGACCAAGGGAAACTTGTAACAAGGGAGTTGTTTGGGCAAATGTTAGAAGGACTTGGGGTAGCTCAGTTGGTAGAGCATGAGACTCTTAATTTCAAGGTCATGGGTTTGAGACCCATGTAGGGGAAAAGATCCCTGCCTTGCAGAGGGTTGGACTAGAGGACCCTGGTGGTCCCTTCCAACTCAACAATTCCGTGATTCTATGATTTGCATTGTGATTTGAAGAGGTGACCCTGTGTAAAGTCTGTGGGGGGAGGTTGGCTGAAAGGAGCAGGGAGAGCTCTGCAAGGGGATTGCAGTGTGGTCTCAGGGTCATGGCAGCCCAACTCTTTCCTCACATCAGTATACCAACACAAAGAGGCTGTGCTGCATTACAGTGGTACCTCGGGTTAAGAACTTAATTTGTTCTGGAGGTCCTGAGCAGGTTCTTAACCTGAAACTGTTCTTAACCTGAAGCACCACTTTAGCTAATGGGGCCTCCAGCTGCCGCCACACTGCCGGAGCACGATTTCTGTTCTCATCCTGAAGCAAAGTTCTTAACCCAAGGTACTATTTCTGGGTTAGCGGAGTCTGTAACCTGAAGCGTCTGTAACCTGAAGCATCTGTAACCCGAGGTACCACTGTAATGGAATTTGGCAACAATAGAAAATCTTGATAACTCTCTCTATATATGGAGACATTGCAGTTTGTGGGGAGCTCTCAGGCTCTGGGCACATCTCTCAGACATTCTGCATGAATGGGAACTTACAGATTCACCCCAACTTTGCTTTCACTGAGAGTCAGTTGCAACTTGAAGCACCATTAAAGCTCTTAGTCTTAGCTAACCCCTGGCACTTTCACTACACAGCTTCTGGTGAATGCTGAAGACACACCTCTTTACCATGGCCTTTGGCACTTGAGGTGTACAGTTTTAGGACCCACCTTATTTCTGTGATTTTACGTTATTTTAAACTGCTTTTAATACTGTGTTTAAATGGTAGTAACCTGCCCCTGGGACCTTAGGGTGGAGGGCAGGGGATATAATAATACCCCATGCGTTCCTTTTGTGTGTGTGGCTACCTTGCATGGACAGAGCTCTCGTCCATCTGCTTGCAAGCAATCACAAGTCCTTCTGTTTTAAAAAGGCATTCTTCCGAAGCTCAGCCTGATGCTGATGGAACTTCAGTGCACATGTCCGAACCCGCCAAGTGTCCCTATTTTCCAGGGACAGCCCCAGATTTAGAGAAACCATCCCAGTTTCTGATTTGATCCTGGAATATCCCGCTTTTCCTTAGGATGTCCCTATTTTCATCGGAGAAATGTCAGAGGGACATGGAATGTGACGTCCCCAGGGCATTTTTTCCAGCCAGTACTCACTAGAACTCCATTCCAGCACCTCTCAGATTGAAGAAGAAGAAGGGTTTGGACTTGATATCCCACCTTTCACTCCCCTTAAGGAGTCTCAAAGCAGCTAACAATCTCCTTTCCCTTCCTCCCCCACAACAAACACTCTGTGAGGTGAGTGGGGCTGAGAGACTTCAGAGAAGTGTGACTAGCCCAAGGTCACCCACCAGCTGCATGTGGAGGAGCGGAGACACGAACCCGGTTCACCAGATTACGAGTCCACTGCTCTTAACCACTACACCAGGCTGGCACCATTGCCATTCTAAGAGAATGAGGGAGTGTTCATGGTGAGTTCATATTTCTAGGAAAATAGCACTAGACATCCCTATTTTCATCAAAGAAATGTTGGAGGGTATGCATGCCTTGCTCTGAAGAAGAGGGAAGGGGGTTAATGTGCATGATTTGTCTGAAGCCAGCTGGGAGACATAACAACCAATAAGATGAAGGGAATTGGGTTGGTGAAGCTCATGGTTCACTATGTGGAGGGGGCGTTATCTGCCCAAATGCCACTCTGTCCCTCAGAGTCCCACTTAACACAAGGTGACTTCAAGGAGATCTCTGGAACTTGCTAAACTTTCTTCCAGGGTAGATGCAAACTGTTTCAGGCCTTTGCTGGAACATTTAATTTGAGGAGAGGACGAGACAGATTGGAGGGAGGAGTCTCAGCTATCAGGCAATCAACCCTTCTGTTATTTCCACCTCCAAATTAATTTCTTGTAATTGTTTTGCACTTCCAGAACTGTGGCGGCTTAATAATGCTTCAAGAATGCCTCGTCTCCTCTCGTGCTTTTGCTTCTCTTTACTCAAAGGCTGGCTTCTGCGTTGCCTTCAAGGATTGGGCATCCAAGAAGCGGGGAGGGGAGAGGAGGGGGATAAGAATGCCTTTGCAGGAATAACCTGCTCTGTCGTGGCCAGGTGTTGAGGTAAAGAGTCCTAGAGAGGGGTGCACTTTCAGACTCCCAGCTCCCACCTTCACCCTTGGCCATTGGCCATGATGGTTTCTGGGGCTGAGGCAAGTTGGAGGCCAAAATCATCACTTTCTTTTTCTCAGCAGGACCAGACATATTTGTAGAAATGCCCGTCAGGAAGCCAGGGTCCCTGGCTTCTGGCTTCCCCGGAAGGTTTGACTCATAAGCATTTATACAGTGTCCTATAAGCCTTGAAAGAGCTTCACCCACAGCAGGGGGGGGGCTCATGCCCAAAGACCAGAGGTGGCCCCCAAGTCCCTCTGTTTGGCCCTTGACACTGTTCCCAGGCCACACCCTCTTCCCAGTGACACACATGCAGAGAGAGAGAGAGAGAGAGAGAGACTCACCACTCTTTGCTTTGCTTTTGGCTGAGCTGGAATGGTTTTGTGAACTGTGTTAGGTCTCTTGCTTGCCTGGATGGTGAGAGAAGAGATATGGGGGTGGCTAGGAAACCCCTGGCTTTTGTGTGGCTTGGATCTCCCTGTGCAAAGACAAGTCACCTGTGTTGTTCTGTCCACTTTTGCACCTGGCCCTCCCACTATGGAAGATTGCCCATGAGGCTGTAATAGGTTTCCGACTCCTCGTCTACATTAGCTCTCCAGGATTTCAGGCCCGCTGTGTTTCCCAGCCCCACTTGGAGACACTGGAAGTTAGACCTCCTGTGGTCTAAGCCTTTCACCTGAACCCTTAAACTGCCTCACAGTGTGTATACAGCCCATCATTAAATGGTGCTTAGAGGCCAGCTCCAGGGCTGAAGAGCACTTTACATTTGCTCAAAGTCACACTGCAACATGGTATTTGAAGCCTTTGTGTAAAAAGCATTAAAGGAGGATACAGATAGCTGTGAGACTTCAGAAGGAGTATTGCCATGTCATGGAAAGTACCATTGCTTGCTGATGTTGGCATTTGACAGTGGGTTGTCAGAACCTTCCTGTGTAGGATTGAAAGGGTCTTTGGAAGCTGAGGTCAGAGGGCCAAGGACAGCCCAGACTGAGTAACTGTTGGGTGGTATGTTTTGGCCTTTGCTGCCCTTGTCTGTGTTTACTGCGTACAGCTCTTGCAGTCTGCAGTCTGGTTCCCATTTATACCCAGAAGCGAGCCTCAGCGAACTCAACAGGGCTTACTTCTGAGTAGACATGCATCGGATTACACTGTTAATCTTCTCTGGGAAGCTGCAGCTTTCAATATTTCACTGGCAAATAAGGTTGTTCCAATGTTTGCTCCAGGCTCTTAACTTCCAGTTTGAATATATTTATTTCTGTGGTCCCCCCCCCCCCGCACCTTCTTCTATTCATCTCTTCTCTGGGGGGATGTTGTGAATGTTTAATTTTCCCCGTCATAAGCAAAGCCTGTTAAGCAGAGTGAAACAGAAAGAGACATCTCAGGGAATAGCTCACAAGACCAGCTCCCTTTGCATGCAAAAGGGTAACTGGATCTCTCCCCCCCCCCCAAAGAAACTCTGAGAAAAGAGGGGTTGGAAGATGGGACAGAGGGAAGCTTGGAGAGGCCGGAGGGATTCAACCTGATCCCTCTGAATTCTCCTGCCATCCCACTGGATCCACACTTCCCGAACTATTGTGTGGATCAGAACCTAATTACCCTCCAGTTTTCACATCACAACAAATGTGCGTTTTAGGATGGAAATGTTAGAAATGCGTACATGGAGATAAAATCTGCCACTGTGCATTTAAATACAAATCTCCGAACAGATGAGTGTGTGTTTATGTGCACAGGTTTTAATGAAAGAATTCAGAGACTGCCACAGAAAGAGGAAGGCGAGGGAGCTACGAATGAGCACCTGCAGAACCGGCCCTTCCATAGAGGCAGACATGACAGGCTGTGAAGAGACAAGAGGAGTGGAAGGGGTGGGTGGACATGAGGCTACCTGAATGGTCCTCGTGGCTGAATCACACCATTGGCCCACCTAACCAAAACAATCAAAGGGGTGAAGCTACTCCCCTGTGCAGAAAAGTTGCAGTGTTTGTGACTTAGTAGTTCAGAGAAAAGGCAGGGAGGAGACAACATCATAGAAGTTCAAAAAAATTATGCACAACAAGGAAAAAGGTCCAGAGGGAAACATTTTTCTCCCTCTCATAACACTCAGAACTTGTGGGCGTGCAATGATGCTGAATATTGGAAGATTAAGGACAGATAAAAGAAAGTACAGTCATACCTCGGGTTGAAGTAGCTTTGGGTTGAGCATTTTCGGGTTGTGCTCCGTGGCAACCCGGAAGTAACGGAGCACGTTACTTCTGGGTTTTGCCGCTTGTGCATGTGCAGACGCTCAAAATGACGTCACACGCATGTGCGGAAGCGGCAAATCACGGCCCGCAGATGCGGCTTGCGTTCGCTTCAGGATGCGAATGCGGCTCTGGAATGGATCCTGTTCACATCCAGAGGTCCCACTGTACTTCTTCCTGCAGTGCATAGTTAATCTGTGGAACTCATACTCACAGGAAGCAACCAATAGAAGCATCCTGGGATGGGGGAGAGCTGCCTATCCTTCAGCTCATCCTTCAGTGTGCCCAAACATGCTCCCTGCTCTGCCACTCTGCCCTCATCCCTCCCCATAAATCCTTTAAATATGAGCTCATGCTGGCTCCATGTGTGATAGATTGGAAGGGGCAGCAGAGGGTGAGCAAGCATCTCCATTTCCCTGAAGGCAGGACCACATGTTTCGCTTAACACAGGTATCTTTCCCAAAATGTCATCCCATCATGCATGGGAACACTTGCACCAAATCGTGAATATATTACATTGTCCTCTGCCCTGCCCCGCCC